TATTTATTAAGACCCCTATGTTACCCATGAACCTCCATCTGGGAAGTTCAAACGGCACATCCCTGGTTGAAGGGGGGTCCATCTGGCAGAGATCATCAAGTTCTCCGGCAAGTCGCACAACCCAGGCTGCCCCAAATGCAAATATCGAATTCTTTAGGGTTCCTCCTCATACTCATGATATAAGATACCCCAAAACCCTATTCTAACTTGTCAGGCCCCCTGTAATTCCGATGATCCCCGGTCCAGCCTGCAGTACTTTGCTGCAGTACAACATTGGGGAATAGCACAGCCTGAGCTCGAGACGAATGCTGTCTGCGATTACAGCACCGTTTGAACACCCCAGCTGACAGATGCGATGTTGCGAGTTGTGTCGATGCAGTGTTGAAGCCTCGTCTGGGTGGAACAGGTTCTGCCTTCACAAGTCCTTACCGAAGGCTTGCATCAGATGCCTTGTGAATTTCCCACAAGTGTATGTGCCCGAAATCATCTCACCTCCTTAACTTCCCTGACTCCCTCCTCGCAGGCAAGCGACTGCACCGCACCCTGGTTCGCGCGCCGAACAAGCAGCCGGAAGGGCAGCTCTGAGCCATTCACCTCAGGCGGACATCCTGAGGGTACGAAACATGCACTTGCACTGATTGGTCTCCATATCGGACGTTGTTCGCCTTCTCGCTCGATTTCAGCTTGTAAACTTAAGTTGTTCGATCCGGGGAGCCATAGGCGCCAGCACATATCGAGCACCTCCCAACTGATGTCTCCAGATTAGCCAGCCGTCGCTGCAGCCGGCCACCTCGCGAGGTTCCGGGTGTAATGAGAAGGCGATGTGGTTGGATTTGTTGTTCAGGCAACCTCGGCGAACATGATGATGATGCTGCCCCTGCTGATGATGATGATGATGACGTTCAGGATGATGATGATGGTGGTGATGATGATGATGGTGATGATGAGGGTGATGATGATGATGATGATGGTGGTGATGATGGTGATAATGATGGTGATGATGATGACGATGATGACGATGACGACGATGATGATTACAATGATGATGATGATGATGATGATGATGAATATTACAATGACTATGATGATCATGATCATGATCATGATCATGATGATGATCATGATCATGATGATGATGATGATGATGATGATGATGGTGCTAATGGTGATTGTGTGCACCAGCAACATCATCAGCATCATCAGCAGCAACATCATCAGCATCATCAGCATCATCATCGTTATCATTATCATGGCCACCATGATCATCAATACCATCCTCGCAAACACTTTCATCGTTGCTGTCACCATCATCAGCAGCATCATTGAGGTGAAGCCGGGACCCACTAAGAATCATTATCTTCATCATCCTCACTCAGGCTCACAAAGAGACTATGGTCTGAAGCGATGCGTTGCAAGCACCCAAGCTGTCTTTGTCTATCTGGGTCATCTAACTGCATGTCTCTCTACCGCCATGTGCGTACGTCTATGTACACATCTGTTTAGTTATTCTTGAAAGATTTGTTGGATCTTTGGTACTTTAGTGTATAGATAAACGCAAGCATGACTAAGCATGCACGCGCATACACACAGACACACTGACCGAGGCATGTGTTCAGCTGGCTAAACGTGCTGCCTTCTTTGTATGTTCCGCTTGCTTCCAGCCTCGCCTTGATGCCACGGGGTTCGTCGATGTTCAAATTCTTTTGAGACGCAACAAACCTTCAGGGCTGTTGGGGCTTTGGTCTGTCCAGCCACGAAGACAAGACACTTCATGGATTTGCTGCTACTATGGCAGCCATGGTTATCAGAATCATCATTAGTGCACCCAACAACCACAACAGCCCATCAGCAGCACCATCGCCATTATGACGACTGACATGGTATCCACCAGCATCGTTGTTGTGAGTTGACACTACCCTCGCCTTCGTCACCAGCATCACGACATCAACAAACCCACCAAAGCCATCTTCGCTGCCGCCACCACTAGTAGCAGCAGCAGCAGCACGACCGCCACCAACAGCAACAGCAACAGCAACAGCAACAGCAACAGCAACAGCAACAGCAACAGCAACGACAACTACAGCGATAACGGCTAACAATGCTAAGAACTGAAGCTCACAAGCTGCCTCCACAGCTTGGGAGACAGAAGCTACTGGTTGCGCAAGGGAATGCTTCAAGAATGGAACCTTCTAGACCCAAACCAACCAGACCATGCTAAAGAAGGCCATCAATCACAGCATCGATAGCACTGGTGCGGCAAGAATGGTAATGATTCTGATGATGACGCTGGTGGTAATGATGGTGATGCTGATGATGATGATCATCACCATCATCTCACCATCGCCATCAGCACCATCGATAGTGGCGGTGGTTGGCGAGCATGTGGCGATTCTGCAAGGTAGTGGCCAAAGGGGCGGCAGGTACAAACACAAGCCGGAAGCTAAGTGGCTCCGGCTGCCGCAAGCTTCTGTCGCATTTCTTGAGGCTTCATTGTTTCGGGACTATCACCTCTGCTGGGTTGCTTTTGGGGCATCAGGTTCCGAGGCTGCCTGTGAGCTTCAAGCTGCAGTGACTTCCTTAGAGTTTGGGTCTTATTTTGGACCGGGCCCTTTTTCCAGCTGCACACCAGAAAGTCCAGGGTTGAGGGCTTAGGGTTCAGGGGTCATAGGTTGCACTTCGACCCCTAAACCCTAAACCCTAAACCCTGAACCCTAAACCCTAAACCCTAAACCCTAAACTCAACAGCTATTTCCGTGAGCAGCCCTGCCTCGAAGCAAGCAGCGACAGCAGCAGAAGTGCTGTCAAAAGGGCCAGGCACCCAGGGTCCCATGGCACCAGGATCTCTGAGATCATACAGTCTCTCAATGGGTTTAGGGTTTAGGGTCAAGTGCTCCCGGAGGAGTAGGCTGTATGAGCCTAAATGCTAGACTCCCCCAACACCTGCACCCTAAAACCTAAGACATGAAACTTAGAAGCAAGAAATTAAACTTACAAGTTTCACAATTAATCAGAGTTGGTTGCTATACTATCGGGGTCGGAAACATCAGGATTCGTATCCGCTTACAAACCCTCTATACTTACGCCATAGTACAGTATACCCCGAAACCCTAATCAGACTCTCATCCGGAAGGCACTAAACAAGAAACCCAGCAGAACCCTGTCGGAAAGCCTGGAAACACCTAGAAAGAACCCTATAGCAACCCTACGCCCTACTTAGTGAGGCATTTTTGGTTTTCATTGAGGCTTTGGGCTAAGCTACTGCGGCATGCAGATTGAAGAAACCATATTCCGAGTGCAATGCTGACGGCATCAAGGGAGTTTAGGGGTTTAGGGGTTTAGGATTTCAAGGGTTCAGGCGTTTTGGGATTTGGGGATTAGGGTTTGCCGGTTCGTTGACTTCGAGCTTAGCGTGTAGGATTCAGGGGTGTAGGGACTTGGGGTTGCAGAGTGCAGTGCATGTGGTACGTTCCGTCATCGCATGAGTGGTACACTGAGGCTCGCCCTCTTTTTCTATTGTCAAAATCACAATTGCTCGCATTTTCCTGCCCGTTCGGGCTGGCAAACTCAAAGCTCGTTGCTTGCGTCTCGCAAGCTGGCTCTGGGAGTTGTAGGCCCGAGAATGACGGTGTTAAAAGAGTGAGCCAATATCTTACTCGCACGGTTACTGTTACAAAAAAACCTGTAGCCAATAAAGCTGAGACAGTGTTTCTTGCATATGCCAATTGGAACTGTTCTTCAAGGCTGTCTTCATCCTCAGCCTATTTGCTGGGTGCAGCAGGCCCCCTTGAGGGGCCTAGCATGGGAAGACACGGGTCTTTGCAACTTACCATGCACGGATCCTGTTGAGTGGACGATGAATGAAGTCCCCATGGCCTCGCATCGAATTTGGACTGCAACCCTGTTACATTTAAACCAAACTGTATTTGGTTTCCAGGTGCTGCTAGTCGAGGAAGAGCCTTCGACATCTTCCAGACTCTTGTTGTTGGAATATCCTGCTGCACATGTCTTGTTGTGACTCGCCAACAGCGGAGCAGGGAAGGAGTGAGACCAAAAAAGCGGTTCGTGTGTCCAGGCACACATGCAGGAGCTCCCTTCTGATTTGAAGCTTCGCTATGGACACCATGGAACTTGATACCTGTTGGCTCCTTTCAGGACTCCTGTTGTCTTGTGCGGAAGTGCATGGATGCTTCCGAGATTGAGCCCAGCAGGATCGGAAAAGCCATCGCTTAAAAGCCCCCTAAACCCTAAACCCCTAAACCCTAAACCCTAAACCCCTAAACCCTAAACCCCAAACCCCTAAACCGTAAACCCTAAACCCCTTTCTAGGAGGACTTCGATCCGGGTCCCCAATCCTCGGAATCTGCTGCCCTGCAAGAGGGTGAAGATACAGGGGGCCATTGCCCAAGAGTGGACGGGCCTTGCCGCCGCCGGCAAAAAGCCCGAGACCCACCTGCTTTCCTCCTTCGTATGAGAGCAGTTTCGTTGCACCATCTCTCTGACGGACGTGGTGGAAGGTCTTCACAGAATTCTGCGTGAAACAGCTCTCTCTCTGCCAGCACCTCTTTGGCCAGCAACCAGCAGGACTCGTTCGGGTCTAACGGAACTGGCACTTTGCTTCTTGCGCTCATGAGAGGTGGATTGAAGTGAGCTGTGCATTTTTCATAGTCGGAAAGACACAATCAGCACCATACGTGCCAGGGCAAAAAATTCTCGATGGTCCAGCATTTGGGCAGCAGGAGGGGTGCTCTTGAACGAGCCCGTTGACTGCCAGAGCAACAGACTCAGAAAGCCTCAAGGTGGCACCACTCAGATGGCGGCCAATCCCCTGCGCCGTCTAGCTCAGAGTGGAAGGCTACAGAGTCTAGACTGCACCGTGTGGGGCATGTCAGCATGGTACCTTCCTGCATACTGGCTCCACAAACGACGGCTCACTGGCAGCCTCATTGCCAAACCAGCCCCTAAACCCTCAAACTAAACCCTAAACCCTAAACCCTCGCGCCTCATTGCTCGCTAGCTGAGCCTCCGGACGAGCCACTCCGGCCGGCCGAGTCGCCTGCTATGGACGGAGTTGAGGATAGGGTTTAGGGTTTTGGGTTTAGGGTTCAGGGAGAGCCCACATAGGATTATATGACGGTATAGCAACAATGTGGTAATCAGTATTTTGGAGCTCACATAGGATTATGTGACGGTACTTCGAGGTTCATGGGTAGGGTGGGGTTATAAGTAGGGTAACTATAGTTATAACCCTTATGAGGGGACTTATAACCCTACTTATAACTACCCATGAACCTCCAAGTATATGACGGTATAGCACACTGTAGTAATCAGTATTATGAAGACGATCATGATTCTGAGCAGTGTTTTGTATCATAAAGGGTGTCGAGTCTGGGCGGCAGTTTGTGGTGCTTGCGACTTCTGGCTTTGAGTTCAGAAGTGTTCAAACCACGGGCACTGTTGCCCGCAACATGTGCTAAGAAAAATATCATATGACCATACCATGTCCTCCGCAGGCAGCAGGAGATCTGAAAGTCTACTCTTTTTCTGCTCCTGGCTGAAGCCCCCTAAACCCTAAACCCTAAACCCCATATGGCGCCTGTCACACCGGAAGCTCCCATGGAGGAGGCGGTGCCACCTCCTTTCTTCTTCTTCTTGCCCGTGATGCTCTTCGTTGTGCGGATGATCCTGGCATGGAAAAGGCAAGAACAGCTGGGAGGACCTTCACAATGCTCATGGGTTAAGGGTTTAGGGTTCATGGTCTTCACGAAAGACAATGCGTCATAGTACCAATATGAAGGCACTATTGCAATTACATGACGAGTCTTCTTCGGGAAGCCAACAATTGTTGCTGCTGGCGCCGGTGGTAGTGGCGGGGAAGTGGCACTGGTCGTAGCTTTACTAGCTACTAGTGGTGGTGGTCCCTTGTCTTCGTTGTGGTGTGTGCAGTGGTCGAGGCTGCTGATTCGTGTTGTTACCTTTTCTTCGCATTCAATTCTTGGTACTAAGACCACTGAGGTTCTTGTCCCAATCGTAGGAATCATGACGATGCTGACGATGAGGAGGGCAATAATTATTGCAATGTGGATGATTGTGATGCTGCTGACGAAGAATAGTAAATGATAGTGAGAACGATGCCCGTGCAGGTGGAGGCGATACTGTTGATGTCGATGGTAGCAGTGATAACGACGATGGCGAGAGGACTCTTCCTGCCTGATGTTAACGTTGTTGCTACGATAACAACAATAGTAAGCATAACGATAATAAGAATAATGACTGCTAATAACAGTAACAGTAACAGTAAGAAGAAGACTTGAAACAAGAACAAAAACAAGAACAGCAACAGCAGCAACAACAACAACAACCAACAACCAACAACCAACAACCAACAACCAACAACCACCAACCACAACAACAACAACAACAACAACAACAACAACAACATCAGCAGCAACAGCAACAGCAGCAGCAGCAACAACAACAACAACAACAACAACAACAACAAGAAGCAACTACAACTACCACTACCACAACCACTACTTCTACTGGATGATCTGAAGGCCAGCACAAGACTCGATCCCGGAGCTTTCACCTGCACGTCCCTCCGCCCTCTTTGAATCCTAAGCTTATGCCCTAGAAACCCGGGCCTGAAGACTAAGGCCCCCTGAGAGAGAGAAGTAGGACGGGCCGTTCCTCGCGGGCAGCACGCAGCTCTTCCGGGCTTGCTGTTCCTGGCCGGCAACTGCATGAGAGAGTTCGGATACAGGACTGTCAGGAGCACCGACTTACATACAGCTTCGTTGGCATCCAGGATTTAGGATTCGGCAGATTGAGTTGCACACTCACTGGAGTCACCGGAGATCCTGATATTTTGCATATTTACATGCAGAGATCAAATCTTTGATGATGGTGACAATTCTTGTGGGCTGAGTGAACTAGACTGCGCAACAAGCCCTCGCCCAGCACTTATTGCCAGCTTTCATCCGGAAGCGATATGCCTGAACCCCAGTCCCTCGACTTGCCTACCGTCTGACCCGGACCATCAGGCATGGTGCCACTGCCACCACCACCGAGCGCCTGCACCCAAATGCGCTTTCAGAATGTCCAAGCGCAATTGGAGGGCCAAGGAACGAGGGCTTGTCATTTCCAAGGCTGTTTGCTGAATCGACGCAGGAGTGCAAGACTGGGAAATGGGGTCTTGCAAGTGGCCCTGGGATGCGTGCGTCTGCACATGATACCATGACATATTTTGAGATTCTCCCAGGCAACCCCTCTCTGCCCAGCAGGCTGCTTGCTTCAAGGCCGGTGGATGTACATCTAGACATTGTGCTGGTGGATGTACGATTGTGCGAGGTCGGTGACTCGGAAGACCGACGCGGTAACATTTGGCCGCAACATCCAGTTTCGAGGCAGCAATGTGTACCGCGCAGCATGCGACACTTGATTTCAGAAAGCACTCCGAAAGGTGGGTGTCTGTCAAATGCCCGGACAGCTAAACCTCCCGTCCCCACCGCGCACCTGGCCACTGCCTTGCTCCGGCATGGCAGGTCCCAGGCCGGTGGGTCCAAATCGCCACTGGGCGGCACCAAAGCCGCCCATGTTGCCCCTGCACCACTGCGACTTCGACGACAGGTCATCCAGAAGAAAGCGGTTGAACGCGCAGCGCAGTTGTTTCAGGAAACATGCTCTAACTCCGACTCTGTAAACGCATGTCACAGAGCAGTGAATCAAGCAAACGTCAGGAACGTCGAAAGCGTGAGCGCCGTGCCTGCCGACGCCTCCACCGAAGCCACCGGCAAAGGTACCACTGCCAGTGCCTGGATCCGAGACTTCAGGCCCCGAGCTTCAAGAATAATTCACACACCTCAATCATGAACCGGACAAACAGCCTCTTCCCTTCCTCCACACTCACTACGGCAACGGTTGCGCTTGCCATTGACGCCGATCATACGAACCAGAAATTGACACTGCCGGATCCGGACCTCTCCCTCGGCCTTTGCCAAAGCCGCCGCCCAGAAAGCCCGGGCCTTAGGAAAGACTTTGGGTTTCGGGTTTCGGGTATCTTTGCCATTACTGGGGTCAAGCGGTGGGAACTGGAAATTGGGCTCGGTCTCTGGAACGAATGGCTGACAAAGGACGAACCAAACAGTATACAGTAAATGCCCGCTGAATACACAGATTCATCAGTCACGAACCATCAGGAGGAAGCACACTCAAACGAACGGCTCAGTCTTCGCATAGACAGGGATATTTAGTCAGAGAGCAAGAAAGGTGGAATACGTGGAAGCCACGAAAGAAACCTCTCCTTACCACGAAGCTGGCAAACCGGGGGCCACTCCGGGTGGTGGGTAGTCGTCATCATCGTCGTCCCCTCCGTAATCGTCATCGTCGCCATCATCCCCATCGTCCGGATCTGAATGCCGACCATCAGAATCCTGCGACGACAAGAGATGAGTGCCGGTGGGGCGGGCAGCTAGAATTTTAAGCACAGTCGGGCTCGTAGACGACAACTGCACATACATATCTGCCCGGATGTGCCGTGTTTCACTTCCTTAGACGGGTAGACTCGTTGCCCTCGGAGAGTGCAGGGTGTGTGCTGTGGACTCACGATGCCAGAACCCCCACAACTAATGGCGAAGGTCTGGAACCCCTGGGACTACATACCACACTATACTATTCTGCATCGCGATGTCATATCCGAGTATTGGTATATCCTTCGTGACAGGCCATCCCGCCTCATCCGGATGGTGTGGCTGAGGTGGCTGCGGATCTTCCTTTCCAGGGGGTGGGGGTGCGGTCAAAGGAGCTCGGGGAGGGAGAGCACCGAAACAGCGATAAAGTTTACCAGCGCATACTCCAAATATTCGATATAACATCTAGCATCGCCAGCAAAGCGGTATTATACATAGGATATGCATGGCCGTTGTAAGCCGAGTAGGATGCACATGCTTGTGCAGGCGGGGGTGGGGGGTGTTTCGGACATTTGGACATTTGAGAATCAGGGTTGTGGGACCTGAGCCGGCACCCGGAAATGGATATTTACACGAAGCGCAACTGATGATACTGATGATGATCATCAGCGACAACTTTCATAGCCAGCAACCTTATTCAACCTAGCCCCCCCTGTGTAATGTCTATGGTGCGAAGGCAAGACCTCAGGGTCGTCGCCACGAGCCCGACCTAAACCGAAAGCCACCGTCCTCCACCGGCTCAGGTTGTGTTGGCACCTTAAGATCAGCGTGCGGGTTCCGGGTTCCCAAAGAATTTGGAGCCTCTAAAACTAAGTTAAGGCTGCAGGTGGAGAATCCGAAAAAAATATTCTACTTCTTCTGGTGTCGGTCAATATTTTTCAGAGATTTCGACCCGCACGGGTAAAGCGATGCAGAATTACTTGGACTTGGAGGTTTGTCTGCATGGTACAATGTAGCAGAGTGCTGCAAGCGCTGTATAGCCCCTACACTCTAAGCCCTCTGAACCCCAGTCGAAGAGGGTAGGTGCACGGGCCTAGGGCATGGAAGGGGCGCTAGGACTGAGGCTGCGCGCCATAGCTGTAGCCCTTTCCTCGAGGCCTTGACCCCCTGTCCTTCCCTTCCGCTTTCCTCCCTCGCTTCCCTCCGTTCTTCATTTTTCAAGGCAAACAAGCCAGCCAAGCCGGAACCCATAACGATACAACAAAACACGTAAACTCCCATAAATCTGTAGCAAGTCCTAAAGACTCGACTCACCACCATATCTTTGGCCGAGGCAGGCACAGGTGGTTCTGGAACGGCGATCTGATGCAAAGCTCAGCTCAGCATCAATGTGTTGTCTTGCTGCACACAGATCGTGACTCGATGTTGTGGGCGACTCTTGGCGCTGCTAGGATTCGGAGTCTTAGGATCTCCAGCCCCGCAAGCGTTGAATCTGGCACGTAGACATGGGACCCGCGTGCAGTGAAAAGACCCCCGTAAGGAGTGTACCTGCAGTCTTGCAACTGGGCCTTGATAGGCGCAGCATCTACCAAGAGCGTGCCCGATGGACACAGGCTGGCATCAGCCAGAGTCATCTGCATGTCCTTGCGGAGTGTTCGGTCGTCTGCCCAGGTGTTTAGCTGAGCAAAGATTCCAAGTTCGGTCCTGCGAATCAAGGCTCATCTAACGCCATCTCGACATTAAACTCTACACACATCAGGCTGTGAGACGCAGAAACAACATCAGAAGAAGCACTATCGGAAGCCCGTTTATACTAAGTTGTTCGCGGTTGCTGTGCATTTGCACGGAATCCCTACATCATGCGATTACACATTACCTGAACCTACGCTGCATTACATTACATTATACCGTATCATATCATATCATATTGTCGATAGTTTGTCTTGCGTTGTACTGTCTATATTGTGCCATGTTATGTTAACTTATAGCAAGCTATATGGTACTAGAATGTTTTACAGTATCTTTATATTATGTTATGCCATGTTCTACAGCATGAAATTATCCTGTGCTAACCTCCGCTGTACTATAAATCGTCTTAGCAAAGCTACACCTCCTTACTAGATAGACGTATAACTGTAATCACATTATGTACCTTCGTGTTTGTCTGCTATATTTCACTATACTATGTTGCATTGCCTTCTATTTTGTTGAGCTTATAGTACTTTCCACTGTTATGTTCCTTCGAATATGTTGTACTATAGTCTTAGCTGCCCAGTA